GGCGACGATCTCGTCGTCGTCGTTCTCGCGGCGCATGTTAAGGCGCACCGGCTCTATGGCATCCTTGATGAAGTCTGGCGGCGCGGTAGATGTGAAGTTGCCGAACCCGGGGTGGAACGCCAGGGGGTAGGGCGTTAGGCACGCCTGCTTTGTCCCCTCCAGGTACTCCCCCTCAACGGCCTAAAAGTCTGCGAGCAGGCAGACCGGCCGGCCGTCGCTGAGGCAGTTGATATCCGCGGCGAGAGCGTAGGCGACGCTATGCATGGCGTCGAGGCAGAATACGGCCTCGATGGTAGAGCTCAGCTGTTGTATACCGGGGGCCCGCCCCGCGAACTCCATCAGCCGCGCCCCCCTCTCCGCAGACTTAGCGCGTGGGGCCCCACGGGAGCGCCTCGGCCCTCCCACGCTGTCGTCGCCGTCCTCCTCGCTTTAGCTGTCCCTAAACTCGTCTAGCACGGACTCAGCCGGGCTGCTACGGCGTGGGGAGGCGCCGGTGACGCTGCCCTTGTCTTCCGTGTCGGCGTTGAGGCTGCTGTACTCGTCCTTGGTGTTGCCGCCGCCCTCCTTATCCTCATACACCTCTTCTATGTCTGGGATAGGGGTGTCGTCGCTAATGTTAATGCAGACGTTGCCCCCGTAGCCGTACGCGTGGAAGGCCAGCTGGACCCCGGCCCAGAACTGGTCGCAGGCGCTGTTCTCCCGGACGAAATCAGCCCACCCTAACAGTAAGGCATCCTGCAGCCTCGCCCAGTCTCTAAGGGAGAGTTAGGCCGTCTCCTGCCCGTTGAGGCGCCATAAGTCCTTAATACCCCTGCCTAGGATAGTGCTGCCCACGCAGGCGAGGAAGTACCTCGAGAACTTTTGGGCGCGGTGGCGTCTTAACGCGGTGGCCTTCTTGCGTCTTCCGGTCCCCGGCATTTCCCGCCCCTGGGTGCGGCCGTGGCTCCCTTCCAGGTTATCGTCGTTCCCCTCCTGGCCGCCGTACGCCGCCCTCGGATCTGGGGTAAAGATAATAAACCACGTTATGGCCAGCCCGTCAGCCCCAACCTTGAAGGTGCGGCCAATGAGGCTAAAGTCTAGCATGCTTTTAATGTGCTTGCTGGAGTAGGGCGCTGACCAGTCCTTGAACGAGATGCTGATTAAGGAGAGGGGGTGACTTTCCGTAGCCCTAGAGACTGCCTGGCCGGGCTTCCCTATAACTACGAGGAAGTCGAGGAAGAACGTAGGCAGGAGCCTAGTCACCCGCCCTCTACTACGGCCCCTGTTCTCACTATCTATATCTAATAGCCACGAACTTATGCTGTAATCTACCGATCGCTTCGTTTAGATAAACCTAACTGCTTTAGTAGTGCTTAATAAGTCTAGGACTTTCTTCTGTAATAGCTTTATTATATATAATTACGTAGTTAGTAGCTGTATATTGGATATTTATATATTTATAGCAGTAGGCACGCGTGTATGAACCTATATACATAGGTTGGGGATAGGTGTTATAAATAAGAACGTACCGGTAAGGTGGCTGCCCTTGTAAGCAGTGACCTTATATTTTCAGCTCTCCTATTTATCTTATTAGGAGCCCTCTTCCTATACGTCTGCAGCATTATAACTGCTTACCTGCTCTTCCTCGCCCTCGCCCTCACCCTTGCTCTCGCTCTTGGCATTACCAGGTGGCGGCGGGCTAGGCCGGCCCCCTTCTAGCTCCAGGGGCGGGGAGAAGCAGTTGCCTTTAGTAAAAAGCCTACCTCCCTGCGGACAAATAGGTTGCCTTGCCTAAGTGGCCGTAGTCGACTCCTGATAAGCAGCCAGGTTGCTAAGTAGTAGGGAGGCCCTGAGATAATTATTACGTACGTCTGCCGTTGAGTGGCGTCTCCTGTCTCCGTCGTCGTTGTTATTATAGGCATAGATTATATTATCCGAGTCTTCCTTGCTATTGGGACAAACATAGGTGGAAGGAGTCTTACTTCTAAGGCTAAATAGACTTATAGCATTAGGGGATTAGGAAGCCGGTTAACGAGGCATAGTGACAGCTATCCTTTAAGAAATAAAGCGCCTTGTTTTTTTCCCCTTGGAAAGAGATAAAAGCTATTGTTGTTTTTTATAGAATTTTCTTTATACTTTATTTTATTTCCCACAGCTATTTTATATTTTTTTCCCACTTATTTTTTCAAAAATCACAATTATAATAAGGATCTATATCTCTTGCTTAACACACCTAAACCTAACCCTACTATTCTCTCCCGTGGCCTAAACTTATTATATCCCTGTAAAATTTACTAGCTTGGTATTATTGCTATGCTGGCTGTGTAGTATCTATGCTTAGACCCCGGCTGCACCTGTGCCTTAACGCTTGCGGATATATTATTATATCGTAACGCGCCTATCGGCCCATTTTGGCTGCTTTTCCTTGGGCGGGATAGCCCTATCTATACGGGCCTCGCTAGAGCTCTGGGATCCCGCGGGTATCCTCTTGCTCTTGGCTGCCTAGATCGGCCCAGGGGGGCTTTCAAGCTCGTCGCCGCCGCCGTCGTCATCAGGTCGGGCATTATTTCTGGATTTCTGTAAGCTCGCCGGCTTCCTATTGCTGTTAGCGGCTGGGTTTAGGGGCGGGAGGACCTTTAGCTCGTCGCTGTTGTCGCCATCGTGGCTGGAAGGCTGGGTGGCTGAGACTTGCTTCTCGCGGGGGGGGTTTAACGACGGCGGTTTTGATGCCTTGGCCGTGGAGCTTCGTCCGCTCGGCAGGCTTTTCCTGCTGGGATGGCCCTGGCCTGACCGTGGTGGTTGTTGGCGG